TTTCTGAGTCAATGTTGCAAAAATGAATTTGAGGAACCTGACTCGGCATGTGCTCAGTGGCCGTGTCTTCAGAGAGAAATGCATGTTCACTGACGACAGGCTTCTAACCACAGCTCCAGAGCTACTGCTAACCATGCTGTCGGGAAACGCACCTCCGACTGGTTCAGGAACAGGTTCGAATCTTGTAAATTCACTGTCCTCTGCCCTGTTAAACCCAGCCACTTTCCAGTTTCAGACTAATAATATTGCCTGTCTATTATGAGCAAAGACCTGATCTACACACATTTGATAGCCCCATTCATTTCAAGCCAACACGTTTATTACACTGTTATGTAATGCAATCATTATATACCACTAGAAAATGCACCTTATATTCATATAAACAGATGAGTCTATGTGGAAATTGATTTTTTTTCCACAGTGCATCCCAGACCACATCAGGTCAGCTGTAGTGCATCTGCTTGTGTGACACTCCTGGGCCACCAGACGGTCGCTCCAGCGCAGGGGCGTCCGCAGATGCTGCAGTGCTGCTGTCCCGCCGCGTGAGGCCCAGCCCGTGAGCGGCCGCGTCAGAGACCCCGTTGATGGGGAGCACCGCCGCCCGCCATTTTACATCACCGGGAATCCAGCAGGGCTCCGCCGGGGAGTCGTTCACCCGCCCCAGAACACACATTCAGCACGATCCGAGCCGAACAGACCAGCAGAACCCCGTCAGGTGAGCTCGCGGCCGGGTTCCGTGGCGTCTCGTGCGGCGGAGGCCTTTATTCGCCCGGTGTTTGGAAACAATGCGCGGGGGAGGGGGTTTACCGGACACGCCAGACACGCTCGCTGTGCGAGAGCAGGCCCTCAGAACCGTCTAAACGCACGAGGACCTGCAGCGGTGGCTTATAAGAGTTATTACAGCGCTAAAGCAGCTGATTCTGTGCGAGTCCGGCTGCTGAGTTAGCGGGCTAATGCTAACGGAGGCTCGCGCCTGAATCACATTTAACACGCATTTATCTCGCAGCTTTTCTAATTTTCTTAAGCTGTTTTGGTGGCTCGTGTATTAATAGCACGTTTTGCGTCACGTAGCTCTTTTAAAGAGCAGTTCGCTCGGTGTGTAACGTAAGTTAGCTGCGGAGGGCCCGAGACTCGTGCTGCGCGCCAACGCGTGTGTATTTAGCCATTCACACTTGCTGAGCGCGTGTGTTTGTGGACTATACACACACTCTCTC